CCCTCTTACTCCTGCTTCCCTAATCCCACAGCTACCAAAGCTGAGACTGGGGACAGAGCCCCATCCGGTCCTTTCAGCGTCTGACCACTGCAGTTAAGTTTATGAAGGCTTGCTGCACTGCACATACCATGTACTGAGAAGCGGATTATCAGGAAGGGCAAACATAACAGCAGCTCTTACTGAGTGCCCACCACATGCTGGTCCTGAACAGAGCTGCTTCCCTATGCTACTGCTCACAGCTCACCTGGGGGTAATGCCCCTGCCCACTTCAGCTGCAAGAAACTGAAGACTGAAAGGTACAGCTTGCTGACTATCACATAACCAACAGACGCCACGGTGAGATTTTTATTGAGAGTATGGTTAAATATTTGAACTCTGGATCCTTCAAATCCTATATTCAAGCCACACTAGCTTGGCAACTTTGTACTTGGTTCTAAAATCCTGAGTAAAAGGAGATCAGTGGGCTTCTACCTACAGACTCTATGAAAGCAAAGGGCAACAGTGTTCTGAATGATTTTAGGCTTTAAAGCCCTTCTATCGTATATCCCAAAGCCATTACTTCCTTACTTTTTAAGGAACTTTGAGGCCAGAACAGTTTGTTTTCCTTCTCCTTCTTCTTCAGAGTCTGAATCAGAAGATGTGGAACTAGTGTCCCATTCTTCATCTTCAGAATCTTCAGAGTCTTCATCATCATCCTTTGAGGGAAGAGAGGATCAGGAGGAAGACAAAGCACTCTCTCCGCTCCTCCCACTGACACACATTCCAGGCATTTCCATAGACAGAACATGGAATCAGGGTATCACATGAAACAGTCCACTAAAACTCTGGAGATTACAAATTACTCAGGGGAATACCCACAACTCCCCAGCACAGTGGGGGCCTGGCAGTTGGATCTCAGTTCACCTAGTGTCCAACACAACAGGAAGCCTGTCCTTAAGTCAAATCCCACTAAGTCACTCTCTGAACCTCAGGATCCCATTAGATTACATTTCTTCTTCCCAAGACCTATATATCCTGAGAGGAAATCACCCCGAGGATATCCCTGGAAAATCTTACTTCCATCTTTTTGTGGAACTTTCGACTCTCCCCAGAAGATTCTGGTTTCTTCTTCAAGAAAGCTGCAGCACTGACTCCATCCTCATCTTCATCCTCATCTGAAGAGCCTGGTAGAAAGTGGGAGGGGAAAAAAGCCAGAACACTGAAGACCAAGATTGAAAACAGAAACCAGATCCAACTCTCTTCCATCAAGGTCTTCTCTCACCTTCTGAGTCTTCCTCATTCTTTTCTGCATCTTCATCCGCAGACTGTTCAGGGTTCTGCATTGAGGAAATCAGAGAACTAAGATGCCTACCATAAGCCAAGCATGGTGGCCCATGCCTTTAATCCTACCACTCAGGAGGCTCAGGCAGGCAGAGTCCAACACCAGCCTAGTCTACACAGTGAGTTCCAGAGGACTCAGAGCTACACAGTGAGACCTCCAACTCAACAACAAAAAAACAAAATGTCTGCCAAATATAAGCCATCCTTCTGAACCCCAGTCGGCTTGTGACGCTCTCTCCTTCGCCGTGTGTCATCCACTCAAGATCTGGAGCTTTGTCACAGGATCAAACTTCTCCTAGTTCAAAATCTTAGCCTCTGGCTGACTCACCTGCTTGTAGTTGGTGATGTGTGACTCAAAATCTCGGTTGTATTTTCGGATCTTCTGGCGCAAGGTACTCAGAGCCTTAGCGTTGTTTTTATTCATCTTCTTTTTTCCTTCTTTATCTTCCCAAAGCTAAAGAAAGGAAGAGTCAAAGGAAGAACACGGACCTGAGACTAAGTGGCATTTTCAAAATGCAGGCTTTAAATCACCTCTCAGGACCTTGCTATCTACACACCTTCTGCACCATTATTAACCAAGACTGTTAACCAAGCAACGCTGGGGACTCAGTGGAGACAAGCAGCCTACAGCTGACCTACATTCCAACCCTAAGTTATTTCCTGAAGACCTTTATAAATTTCTACTACGAATACAAAAGCAAAAGGTGATTTAAAACATAATACTAAGCCAGGTGGTGGGGGTGCATGCCTTCAATCCCAGCAATAGGGAGATCGTGGCAGGGAGGCAGAGGTGGGCAGATCTCTGAGTGTGAGGTCAGCCTGCTCTACAGAGTGAGTTCTAGGATGGCTGAGACTACACAGAAAAACCCTGCCCTGGGGCGGGGGGTTGGGGGGGAGAGGGGAGAGGAGAGAACAAAAATAACAAAAACAAAACAAAGCAAAACCCCAATAAATATAATTAAGCTCTTGTCCAAGAATAGGTTTCTCTCCTTGCTTTATCTCATTTTCTACTTTCTAGGAAGCACTGTACATAAGAAGGCAAAGACCCCCAGGAGACCCCTGGGAGCAGGAAAGCAGCACAGCCAGGCCCACAACCTCCTCTGTATCCTCAGAGTCACACCTCATTAAGATAGTCCTCCAGGTCAGCCAATATTCGGATATAGAACCGGGGGACACCTTCCTTGTCCACAATGCTCTTGGCTTTCCCATACGCTTTTCCCAGGAGCTCAAACTCTTCCAGACACTTGGTGACATCTCGAATCTTCATGGCATTACGGATGGTTCGTATAAGGTTGGTCAACTCCTCAAACCTGGGTAGGGAGTTCAAAGCCAGATTAGCCGTGTCTATCATGGAGAAAGCAACATCATCACTCCCTGTGTCCCCCCCCCCCCCCCGCCTCATATGGCCTCACCTCTTGTCCTTGGCACTTCGGACAACTCTCTTTGTATCCTCCTCATCCTCACTCAGTAACAAAGGCCTGTGTGGAAGGAACAGAGACCATTAACCTCCAGTCTCAGCTAGTATAATTTCTCCTCTAGGATGAGAACTGAAGCATGCACGACATCTTCTTTCCTGACCTTTATTCTTCATGCTCATCTTAAACAGCTGCAACTCTAAATGAGGTCTTTGTCAAACCCTGACAGTATCTACAGAAATGTCCCCAAGAACAAATAACTGAAGAGCTTATTTACTGTACGTGACAACTGTCTAAAGGCACATATGGCTACAGAAGCACCTAAGAAAGCAGCAGACAAAAGGCTCCTTAACAAATGGGAAGAGCTTCAAGGAGCTGGTACCTAGCCAGGTTCTAAAAAAGAAACATTTCCCAAAATAGGAGAGGCCACTAGTGAAGAAAAGTTTCAGTGAATTTTAACACGCTCTTTGCTTATATTTCTTTTCAATGAGATGGGTCAAAGCACTCAGTTTGCCACAGTGTCTCTATTCTTTTCTTTCCATGGTGTTAATTTTTCCTGATAATTTTTATGTGACAAGTGATAGTTTTTCACTTTGGACAGTTATGGAATTGTATTTACATGGATAAGAATGTGTGTATGTATATTTATCTACAATAATTCTCTACAAGATCTGGTGGAAGTAGGTATAAATGTCTTAAAGCACTACAGGCACACAGCAAAAACAATATTGTTTTGAGAACTGTTTCAAAATTCAAAAAATTTTAATTTGTAGAGATGGAGAAAAGACAGTAAAATAAAAGTGAACACAGCAGTGTTTAACATTTGCGCACAAAGCCAAATGACAGGATTTCAGCGCCAAACTAACCAAGCACTGAGGGTTTTTCTTCCATGAATACAAGTCACCAAGGACTAAGCTTCGTGGGAAGAGCTACAATATGGGGCGTTTTCGAAGGCCAGTGCGACACAGCCAGGGGCAAGAAGGGATATGAGAGATGGAATGTGAGCAAGAATTACGAGGATGCCGACTTCGAGCCCTTGAGAGCTGATGCAATAATAAGCAACGGGAAACCTCTGCTCCAGTACCGAGGATGTCGAGGACTCCCAAAGTTTACAGCGGGAGAGCTACCATTCTCAGACGTGTCCCATCCCACTCGCTCCCCCTCGCCCACACGAGCCCCGCAGCCCGCCAAACCCGTCCTCTCCGCGCCCCCAGCTCACTGTTTGCCGTAGTTCCCGGAGACGGGTTTGGTGACGAGCTCCTCCCCGGACAGGGACGACTCCGACTCACTGTCCGAGCCGGTGGTGAAAAATCGCGACATGGCGACGGCGCTGAAGAGCTGAGGCGCTCGCGGCCGGAACCTGAGGAAAACCGCGGCGTAAGGGTTTGGGGACAACCGCGGCTACCATCTCCCGACCTGGAACCCCGTTCCCGGCTGCACGCCCTCCCCCTTACCCTCAATCAAGCACGAGGCCCAAGAGACACAAACCAGCTGAGCTCGGGAGTCCTAGAGAGCAGGCGAGACAGGCGCAACGCCGGAAGAGGAAAAGGTTGGGGGCGTCACTTCCCAGAAGCACCAAAGAATGCGCCAAATAACTACAATTCCCAGCGGCCTTTGCGCTATACACGGCCTGGGACGAATTAGTTGCATAGGTTCTAAATCTTAAAAGTTTAAACTAGGCCGGGCGGTGGTGGCGCACCTTTAATCCCAGCACTTGGGAGGCAGAGGCAGGTGGATTTCTGAGTTCGAGGCCAGCCTGGTCTACAGAGTGAGTTCCAGGACAGCCAGGGCTACACAGAGAAAGTCTAAACTAAGACTAGCTGCTTACTAGGACCGCCGGGACTAGACTGCAAGACTGAAACTAAGACCACCTGATGGTGCACGTCTGTAATCCCTACACTAGGAAGGGTGAAGGAGGAGGATCATGGGTTCAAGGCCAGACTGGACCAAAAAAAAAACAAACCCCAAAAAACCAAAAAACTCTGAAGCCTGCGGAGGTGGCTTACCCCTTTAATCCTAGCACTCAGGTAGAGGCAAGTGGATCTCCAAATTTCCAAATTTGAGGCCAGCCTGGTATCCAGAGCGTGTCCCAGGACTGCCAAGAGAAACCCTATCTCGAAAACAAAAAGTGCTCTGGTCGCGCATCTGAACTTCAGAGTAAGAATCTAAGAGCTGGTGTCAGCGTGATGCTGATGGCCTGCTAGGTTTTAGAGGGGTGTCATTGGTGTTGTTGTTATTTTGTTTTGTTTTTTAGAAAAGGGTTTTAAAAATACGGAACACTTCACAAATTTACATATCATCTTTGCTCAGGGGCCATGCTAATCTTAACTTGTATCTTTCCAATTTTATTACATGGGCTGAAGAAGGGAGCATGATTTTACAGCTTTAAGCAAACTTACTACATCTTCAGTGTTGGAATCCTAGCTTTACCGTTTTCTTAGGCAAACTTTCTAACTTCTAACCTCTATCTGTTCTTCTCCCTGTGCTACAAACAAAGGGGAATAATAGCACTTGTTCATTTGATATTAGAAGAATGAAGTGACAACATATGAAGTGTGTAGGACAGTACCTTGTGCAAAATGAGCACATACTAGCCACAGGACCCACGAGATGGTTCAGATGAAAAAGCACATGTCACCAAACATAAGAACTTGAGTTAGTTCCCTGTGGCCACAGAATAGAAAAAACAACTCCTGATGTTGTCTTCTAACCACCTCCCCTCACACACACACATACACACACACACACACACACACACACACACACACGCAATTCCCAGTGGCCTTTGCACCATACAAGGCCTGGGACCAATTAGTTGTGGAGGCTCTAAGTCTTAGAGTCTAAGACTGACTGGCTGCTTCCCAGGACTGTGTGTACACTCGCGCGCACACACACACTCTCTCTCTCTAAATGTAATTTTAAAAATAATAAAAACACTCTGTCATTCAGTCATTTTAGGAGTATTTACTAATTTGTGTGTGTGTGTGTGTGTGTGTGTATGAACAATGGCACAGGCACAGGATACAGCTGTGAGTAAAAGTGGGCAAAATGTAAAGGAATTCACATCCATATTTGTTTGTTTGTTTGTTTGTTTCTGAGACTAGATCTCAAGTAGCCCAGGCTGGCCTCAGACAGCAGAAGATGAATATGACATTCTAATGTTCCGGCTCCCACCTTCTAAGTGCTGAAGTTAAAGGGTACATCTCCATACCAAGGTTTCTGCAGTGCTTGGGATGAACCCATGGTCTAGATCCATACTAGACAAGCACTTCACCAACTGATGTCTGGGGTGCCCAAAAATAAACAGTGAAGTATAATTCTAGCAAGATGCCAGTGTTGGGTGGGTTTTATAGAAAGATGGCCTTAAGGTCAGAGGCCTAAAGGTTCTACTTTGCCTGCTGGCAGTGTATGTATGTCTACATCTACCTCAATGTGGTCTGAGTTAAGTCATTTTTTTGTTGATATGAAGAAACCATGCAAAAGCAAAGCAACTAATAGAAGAAAGAGTTAGTTCACTAGGGCTTATAGTTTTAGAGGGTGAGTCCATGATCAAGTGGACAGGGGGCATAGCAACAGGAATGGTGCTGGAGCAGGAGCTGAGGGATGACACCACAAAGAGGCTGAGGGGAAGACAGAGATAGAGAGAGAACTGGGAAGAATGTGAGCCTTTGAAACTTCAAAGCCCATATCCAGAGATACACCTCCTTCAAGGCCACACCTATTTTTTTCTTTTTTTTTTTTCAAACAAGGTTTCTCTTTATAACCTCAGCTGTCCTGGTGGAACTTGCCCTATAACTAGGTTAGCTTTGAACTCTGAAATCCTCCAACTTCTCCCTCTGGGGTGCTGGGGTTAAAGGCATGCACCATCAAGCCTGACAAGGCCATACCTCTAAATCCTTCAGATGTGTGATTATGTTGTGAACTACACACAACAACAACAACAACAACAGTTTTAAATGTCAGACATCTTTACTAATAGAGGAAATGCAAATCAAAACCAGAGGGAGATGCCACACTCATTAGAATGGCTTACTAAGACAAAACCAAACACACACATACACACACACACACACACACACACACACACACACACGCCACCATCACCACCACCACACACACACCACCACCACCACCACCACCACCACCACCACCACCACCACCACTGCCACACACAGGGAATAGACAGTACTGTGAGCTGCTATGAGCCCTACTTAGTTGATTCTGTGGGCTGTTTTCTTATGGTATCCTTAACCCTTTGGCTCCTACAATCCTTCCACCCTGTCTTTTGTAGGATTCCTTGAGCGTCTTCCAATGTTTGTCTGTAGGACTCTGCATCTGCTTCTATCAGTTGGATAAAGCCTCTCAGATGATGGTTATGCTGGGATCCTGTCTACAAGTATAGCAGAATATCATTAGGAATAATTTCGTTGACATTTTTTTCTTCCAATCATGTTTGGTTCTATCCTAGGTCTCTGGCTTTCCAGCCCCTGGTTCCTGGCCTTCTGGGCAGTATCAGGTGTGGGCTTCCTCTCATGGCATGGGTCTCAAGTTGGACCAGTCATTGGTTGGTCACTTCCATGAGTTCTGTGTCCCCTTTACCCCAGCACATATTGCTGGCAGGACTGTCTGGTGCTGCTATGTATGCAAATGCTAAATTTTGGCCCTCAGGTGGCAGGATGAGCACATTCTCACATACACCAAATGATGCTGTATGAACTTTGCTGACCAATCTTCTCTGACTGGTTAAATAAAAGTGGCTACAGCCAGTTCCTAGGAAGACTAGAGATAGGCAGGATTTCTGTTTCCATGCTGGGAGTCCCAGGTAGGGGCCACCAGGGGAGGAAGAAGGAAGGAGAAAGAAGACACAGAGAGCGGGAGGTCTCCATTAGACTGGATGGACCAGGAGCAGCACACAGCTGAGAGAAGTGCACCGTCAGACAGACTGAAGGAGCAAAAATGAATGACACCTGGAGAGACCCAAACAGCGAGTCCTTGTCGAGCGCAGCTGGGAAATAGCTAGTGAAGAAAAATAGTTTAGGGATAATCACCCAGTAATTGTGGTAAAGCTGATTAAATAAACCGATAGGACTCTATCTTGATTATTGGGAGACTGGCTGAGTCATATTAAGAACTAAAAGAGCTAATTAATAGCATTTACAACAACACAGGACAAGTTGTAGGTTGAAGGTTTTGTGGCTGGGTTGGTGTTCCATTTCCTTGACCAGAGGTCTTGCCTGCTTACAGAAGATGGCTGGTTAAAGCTCCGTATCCCCAGTTACTAGGAATCTTCACTAGAGTCACCATCATAGATTTCTGGGAGTTTCCATTGCACTAAGGTTCTACTTCATCCCTGAAGTGCCCCCACCCCGTTCGTTATCTCTCCCAGTACTCTCTCCCTCCATCCTGTCCCCACCTGATCCCTCTCGTTCCCATCCCTACCTGCCCCCAGTCCACCCTCTTCTATTTCCTCTTCCCAGAGAGATCCATGAGTCTCCCTTGAGCCCTCCTTGTTACTTGGCTTCTCTGAGTTTGTGGATTATAGCATGATTATTCTTTACAGCTAATAGCCACTTATGAGTACACACCATATTTGTCTTTCCGGGCCTGGGTTACTTGACTCAGGATGATTTTTTTTTTTCTAAAAAAATTTGCCCGCAAATTTCATGATATTATTTTTTAACAGTTGAGTAAAACTCCATATGTAAATGTACATTTTTTTATCCATTCTTTAGTTGAGCAACATCTGGGTTGTTTCCAGTTTCTGGCTATTATGAATAAAGCTGCCATGGACATAGTTGAGCAAGTGTCCCTGTGGTAGGATGGAACATCCTTTGGATATATGCTCAGGAGGCATAGTTGGGTCTTGAGGTAGATCGAGTCCCAATTTTCTGAGAATTCGCCATATTTATTTCCATAGTAGCTGTACAAGTTTGCATTCCCACTAGCAATGCAAGAGTGCTTCCCTTGCTCCACATCCTCGCCAGCATGAGCTGTCACTTGTGGTTTTGATCCTAGCCATTCTGACAGGTGTAAGATGGAATCGCAAAGTTGTTTTGATTTGCATTTCCCTGATGGCTAAGGAAGTTGAACATTTAAGTGGTTTTTGGCCATTTAAGATTCCTCTGTTGAAGCCGAGCAATGGTGGCGCACAACTTTAATCCTAGCACTTGGGAGGCAGAGGCAGGTGGATTTCTGAGTTCGAGGCCAGCCTGGTCTACAGAGTGAGTTCCAGGACAGCCAGGGCTACACAGAGAAACCCTGTCTCGAAACAAAACAAAACAAGATTCCTCTGTTGAGAATTCTGTTTAGCTCTGTACCCCATTTTTTATTTGCGTTATTTGGCTTATTGATGTCTAGCTTCTTGAGTTCTTTATATGTTTTGGATACTAGCCTTCTATTAGATATGGAGTTGGTGAAAATCTTTTCCGATTCTGTAGGCTGTCATTTTGTCCTATTGACAATATCATTTGCCTTACAGAAGCTTTTCAGTTTCTTGAGGTCCTGTTTATTGTCAGTCTTAGTGCCTGAGCTATTGGTGTTCTGTTCAGGAAACTGTCTCCTGTGACATGTCTCAGGGCTACTTATTACTCACTTTCTCTTCTATGAATATCTTAGTCAATCTAACCAAGCAAGTGAAAGACTTATATAATAAAAACTTTAAAGACACTGAAGAAAGAAATTGAAGAAGATATCAGAAGATGGAAAGATCTCCCATGCTCATGGATAGGTAAGATTAACATAGTAAAAATATTAAACAAACAAACCGGCCATCTTAGGAAAAGCAATCTACAGATTCAACACAATCTCCATCAAAATTCCAACATAATTCTTTACAGATCTTGAAAGAATAATACTCAATTTCATATGGAAAAACAAGAAACTCAGAATAGCTAAAACAACTCTGTACAATAATAGAACTTCTGGAGGTATTGCCATCCTTATTTCAAGCTACTACAGAGTTATACTAATAAAACCTACATGGTACTGGCATAAAAACAGACAAGTTGATGAATGGAATTGAAGACCCAGATATAAATCTACACACCTATGGATACTTGATTTTTGATAAAGAAGCCAGAAATATACAATGGAATTATTATTTTATTATTATTTTTTTTGGTTTGGTTTTTCGAGACAGGGTTTCTCCGTGTAGCCCTAGCTGTCCTGGAACTCACTCTGTAGACCAGGCTAGCCTCGAACTCTTGGACTCAGAAATCTGCCTGCCTCTGCCTCCCAAGTGCTGGGATTAAAGGTGTGCGCCACCACCGCCCGGCGGAATGGAATTATTTTTAAACAAGATCTCACGTAGGCTAGGCTGACTTTGGCTTTCTATGTAGCTGAGGACTATGAACTCCTGATCCTTCTGTCTCTAC